GCCACATTCTCTCTAGTCTGTCCATAGCACTGCATGGTGTGAAAGCCAGAGACCAAAGGGAAACAGGGAGGGGCCGCAGGGAGGTCTCCTCCAAGAGGGGTGAGTGGGGACTTAAAAGCACAACTGGGCCCTGGCCAGTGCGGCTCAGCTGGTTGGAGCATCATTCCATGCACCAAAGGTTCACAGGTTCGATTCCTGGTCGGGACACGTACCCAGATTTCAGGCTTGGTCCCCATCAGGGCACATATGGGAGATGATCGATGTTTCTCTCTCTCTCTTCTTCTCCCTTCCTCTCTCTCAAAAATCAATAAAAACATATCCTTGGGTGAAGATTTTCTTAAAAAGGCACAACTGGCCTGAGCAGCCCAACCCCCAAAACAAATCCACAGAGAACCAGGCGGCTCAGGGCTGCCAGGACCCATCACAGAACCTTCCTTGACATCACACCAGGGAATGATGTCTGCCCTTCTTGGATATCCTCTGCCTTTGGGGTTTTGACACAAACCTTGTGTTGTTCAACAGGAAGCAGGATCGCAAGCAGCCCCCACACCCCCTTTGGGGGCCACATCGGAATGGATGTCTAATCTCTGCCCGCTGCTAGCTGGGAGATGGAGACTGGAGAGCTTGCCCAGAGAGAAGTTTTTCTAGACGGTAAAAAATGGGTGGTGGGCGGGCAAGGTTTCTAGGAAGCAGAGGTGAGTTGCCCTCCTGGTCCAGTTACCTCTCATCCCACACAAGCACTTAATTTCATGCTGAAGCTGCTCCCAGGCCGGGGAGATCACCTGGAAGGAAAGTGGCCTTTATTAGGCTCTGGACTGATAGGCAGAGCGTGAATGTGGTTGTTCATGGCTCACGGCACCCATGGCAAGTGGAGGAGGGAGAGCCTGGAAAGAAAGCCTTTGGGGTCTACCAAAAATGTGGTCTAGCCCTGCCTGTGTGGCTCAGTGGTTGAGCATCAACCTAGGACCCAGGAGGTCATGGTTTGATTCCCGGTCAGGGCACATGCCTGGGTTATGGGCTCGATCCCCAGTCAGGGGCAAGCAGGAGGCAGCCGATCAATGACTCTCATCATGGATGTTTCCATCTCTTTCTCCCTCACCCTTCCTCTCTCTGAAATCAATAAAAACATATTTTTTTAAAAAAATGCATCTTGTGTGCTGTGCTCTCTAGACCAAGAGCCCCTGTGGACAGAGCCATGTGCCAAGTACTTGGAGGAAGGCAAAGGGAGCGCCCCAAGGAATCTTCAGTCTGAGGGGCAGACACAGCCCTCAGCCTCAGGAAGCCTCTGTGGGCTGGAGAAGATATGGCCCCTGGTCTGCACCCCTGCTCCCAGAGAGCCCCAGCCTGACAGGCGCGGCACGACCTCAGGGTCCCCCAGTCTGATGGCAGGGACAGGACCACAGACTTCTCTCGTACAGGAGGGTAGGGCATTTGAAGAGACAGGATTGGATCTCAAAAATCTTTATAGATAAGTAGAGCTGTAGCGGCTCCGGCTCCCTCTGAGTTCCCACCGTGTAAATGGGCCTCTTTTCCCTACTCCCTCCTGCCCTAAGAAGGAAGACAGCTTGAGTGTCAGTTCTCACTTCACCCAGCTGCCACCAGGGAACCTCCATCCTTCATGGGCCCTCAATCCATTGCCCCTGTTACTCTCCATCTTTCCCCAGCTGGGACACCCTCCTAGACATCGCAATGGAGACATCGCCACATTGCCAAAGCTGTAGGCCACTAGCCAGAGCTGGGGTTCAAATGACTGCACCCCACCTGCTCCCGCCCAGAAGTAGCCTATTGCCTTCAGGAGTGTCTCCCTTCCCCAGCTAGTGCCACCTTCCCCCGAGTCTGCCCTCCCCAAGGGCATCCTTTCTAACTGAGGGCACCAGTAAAAGAAGTGGGGGATAGAAAAATACTGGGCCTTAGGCCCAAAAGAGGGGAGAGGGAAGTAAAAAAAAGGGGCACTTAAGGTACCCTACCCGTGGGCAGGCCCCAGACAGCAGCTGGATATGCCCAAATGTTAATCACCAATTAGCACAGTTCAGGTGGAAAGGGAAACTTTATTACGTGTAAAATGGACTTAATGTGGCAGGAGCTGTGGGCTTAATTTCTTGAGATAAGATGCTTTTAGGCTAATCAGAGGGTCTGCGGTGCCTGGATATAAAGGAGGTAAGCAGCCTTCCCTAAGCAGGCTGGGCAGGAACAAAAGTTAGGAGGAGGAGACCTCGCCCTGCCCTTCTTCTGGAAGAGCTGGAAAGGACGTCTGGTAAGAGAGCAGCTGGGACCGGGGACACGGGAGAGAGGTGGACCTGGGCACCGAGGCGCTCTGGCACCCTTGCAGCTCACTCTTCCCTCTTAGTAAGACGTAGGAAGGTGGCTCTGATGGTTCCTTTAGTACCCAGGGGACGAAGGCAGGAAGGCGAGGTCTTGCAACCCGCATATCTCTAGCCCAGCTTTGGTTTTTAGGGCTTGGGAGGAAGGTTGCTTACTGTTTTTCATCTACTGAAGACCTGGACGAAGTAGGGCAAGCCCTCGGTAGAGGGGTCAGACTTCAGAAAGAACTTCCCTGAGTTGAGAGAGTCAAGTCTGAGAAGGGGAGACGGGGATGGTTCTACGTGTGGTTTTCACCCGGGGTAAGAGGGCCGTGATGATTTAGGTGACAAGCAGCTTGAGAGCTGGCTGGCTGGCTGGTATGAGCTGTGGAGGGCTCGAGGGGAGAATCTTGCCAAACCACATGCCTGTGATGTCTAGCCACTGCAGCCAGGAGGGGGGCTGTCCAGGCACACAGGTCTCCTCCGCGTTCTGCAGCCTGGATATCTCCCCCACTGCCCTCCTCCTGCCCCACTCAGACTCCACTTAAAACTGTATTGCCCAGCACTCCCCAGCCTCCCTAGGATCCTGTTCTGGCCTCTTAGAAAAGCTCCAGACCCCAGGGCTCGATGTCCCCCAGCTTTCAGAACCCCGTGGGCCTCCAAGGCGCCAGCAATACTGGCTGTTTCGTAGCACAGTGCTTCCCCCTCAGTCAAGTCCTGCTCTCTCTTAGGTCAGGAAACAACCCTTAGAAGATGGTGGCCATGAAGATCCCTCTGCTGCTGGTGTCCCTGCTCCTGGCAGTGGTGCTGGGAAATAAGGAAGAGGGTCATTCCAGGTAGGGGGAGGAAGAAGGGGCCAGCTGCAGGGGAGGGGGCTGGGGGATGGCCGGGTTCTGGTTTTCAAGGGAGGCGTGAGAAAGGAAGGAATCCCGGGCCAAGAGGAAAGAAGCTGCAGGGGAGAATCTCCAGCGGTCTGAGTGCAGAGCAAGGACAGGACCAGAGACTATGTATCATGAGCTACTGTTGCGGTGGGAGCGACTGTGGTTAGATCTTTGGGAGGACTGCTCAGTGGCTAAGTATCTGAAGTGGATGACAGCATCTCCACTGACCTTGCATGTATGCATGCCTTTGGTCACATTTTATAGAGGACCCCCTGCGTGCCAGGTGCAGGGGATACCTGGGAAGAGTGGTCCACAAAGGCCTCCTGCCCTCCTGGAGTATATGGGCCAGGGGGAAACAGACAAAGAGCCCCCTCGGCGAGTTGCAAACTGTCATGAGTACTGTGAGGAAAAGCAGAGTATTAGGAATGAGCGTACCAGGGGGCTCTGCACTTTGGGGATCAAGAGAGACCTCTCTGAGTAGAGTTGGGCTTTCTTGGGTGCAAGGACAAGCTATGTACTCATGTAAATTCAGTGATGTAAGTCTGAGGCACGGCTGCCAGAGATGTGTGCAAAGAAAGACACTGTCATGTGGAAGTTAAGAACATAGACCTGCGCCCAGGCCGCCTGGGGGCAAACCCTGCATCTGCCACCCATGCTGTGAGCTAACTCTCTCTGCACCCTAGTTTCCTCATTCACAAAAGGGGGTATAAACAGTGTCTCTCCTAGGGGTCCTGTGAGGATTAAACGAGTGTCTGTATTAAAGGGCTGTTAGGGGTCCTGACTCCCGTATAAGAGCTACTATTGTTGGTATTGACTGGGAACGGAAGACCGAAATCAGGTGTCGCCAGTGCAAGAGGAGTAAAGAGGGACCTGGGAGTCAGTCCTGTGGGACAGAAGCCAGAGCCAGAGCCACACACACTGAGGATGCAGGAAGTGGGCCTCTAAGCTGAAAATAACGCCCAAGGGGTTTAATGCATGGCCAAGAGGTGTCTCCATAAAAACGGACTCCCAAGGAATGGGCCGGCTGGTTTCCAGATGCCGGCCCCCCGTCATTTGTGCCGGCCCGGTGGTTCCCCGCACCCCCTGTGCCTCCATGGCGCTCTGGTCTCTCCCTCTCTCCCCTCCCTGTCCCCCAGAGTCCACACTAAGGTCCGAGGCTCCGGACCTCGAGGCCGCAGGTACGCCGAGGGGACTTTCATCAGTGACTACAGTATCGCCATGGACAAGATCCGCCAGCAGGACTTCGTGAACTGGCTGCTGGCTCAGAAGGGGAAGAAGAGCGAGTGAGTGGCCGC